TCATTACACCTAAACATCCTAGTCGCACACGACCAAAATAAACCCACGAAGTCATAAATTGGTACGGCTATACTGAAATAACAGCTTCCTTAACAAGATGTGCACCTCTGATACAGCATATTCCGCAGTATCTCTGTAGTCATGATTATTACTTGAGCATCCTTGTTTACTGCACTATCTCCTGTTAGAAGGCCAACATAATTGTCTCCAAATGTTTCGCTGCAACAAGCAAGTACGGAGAATGAAAAATGGCAGATTATTAACTGTGGCTGTGATGGAAACAGATGATGAAACTCCAATCCACAAACCGAAACTCGCGAAACTTCTGATTAGATAGTGCCTTGAGAGGAGTGGTGTAGAACAACCGCCTCCCTCTGGCTACTGTGGCCACTGCCGCAGCTTCAGCAATCAATGTCTTTCCGCTGCTAGTAGGCGCCGAAACCACAACAGAAGATCCTCTTAGAAACGCTTTGATCGCCAATCGCTACCAAAACCAATTCACAAATCACTACAAAAACCGGAAAGTTCGAAGAAAGCTCTATGAGTCTTGCCTACAAGACAAAATACTCCAAAAAAAAAAAAGCACAAATTTCACTACGCATAAGCGGCAATACTCGATGAAGATGTGAACCTGAAATTTGTCGATGCGAAAGTCATAGACCGAAGCGAGCTCGTCGACGTCGATGAGCTCAGCGCCGAACTCCCTCACTTCGCTGCAGAGCTTTTCCACTCTCCGCAGCTTGGATTCGCTAAACGAGGCGCGCATGCTCGCCGCGGCATCATCGGACGAGGCCTCGATCTCGCCCTCGCTCTGTTCGGCGTCCTCGTAAGCGTCGCCGGAGATGTCGTCGTACTCATCCGCGGCGAACTCTTCTCCATCCTCCTCCTCGTCCTCCTCGTCCTCGTCCTCGTCGTCGTCGGCATCGGAGAGCTGGGAATCGTCGGGAAGCAGGGGGGTCGGGGTCCCGTAGCGAGCGCGAAGAAGCGGTCCGGTGCGCGAAAACCCTAGGGAGGGAAGGTGGCGGAGGGGGAGGTGGCCGGCCTTGTTCCGGGGGATCGGGAGGGAGAGAGGAAGGGGCGAGAGGATAGAGGAGAGGCTGCGCATGGCGGGAGATTTTTCCGGCGCCGCAGAAACTCCATGTGACTTTTATTCCGGAAATTAGTCGTTTCTTTCTTTTTCTTTTTCTTTTTCTTTTTCTTTTTTTTGAAGCTAAAAATGATTTTACACAAGTGATCTTCACGTTCGATTCTAATTACTGATGAATAGAATTGTTTGTGAATAATCAACTTTGAAATAGCAAAATCACAAGGTCTCGTACCATAGTTGTTCAGTCCGCTTTCAAGGCATAATAATAAAGTAGGGGTGATCGATTCAAGAATGAATAGATTCTAGTCCTGAAAATTGATAGGTTATAACCGATTTCTAATTTTTAGAAAAACTTATCGTATTTTCCCCGAAATCTGTTTTTTGAACCTACCATGTTTTTCCAGTTCGGTTTCATTTTTTCTAGCAAAATAATATGAGTAATAATAAAACAGTTTAAAGTAAAAGATGAATAATAACAGTCATATCCGCCAAAAGCAACAATCCTCGAGATAAGCAATGGAAATTACTATATACCAAAACCAACCATCCAAGATATAGTAATAGTATGATCCAGGTTTTTTTTACCACAAGTTAAAAACCGCTTTCGAAACCGGTCCGATTCCCAAGTGGGTCTTCACTTAGAATCGAAAACTGGACTGGTTTTAACCGGTTCCCGAAAAATAGAAGCAGTTCCTGGACCTGTTTGTCGAGCGGTTCGATTCGGTTCCCGGGTAAACCCGATCTGGTTGCATACCCTTAATAATAAGTAAAGGGGATAAGTGTACTGAATTTTAAAACTTGTCATAAAAGTGCAAACAAGTTCCCAAACTTTTAAAAAGTGCAATCGAGTCCTAAACCTTATCACGAAAATGCAATTGAGCTATAAAACTTTCAAAATGTGTAATCAAATTCTACGAATATTCGATACATGTTCAGGATCAAAATCAAGGTTCATAATTCGGCAAAGCCTGATCCACGATTACACAAGGAATGAAATCGGAGAGCTTCAACCCCCGTGGGCACCTTTCACTTCACTAGTGAATGCCTTTAGTTTTCAATTTAAGCTCTATTTGTTTCGTGAAAAATGAATGATTTGGAAAATATTTCCTATATGGGCAAAGTTTTTCTCTCTGCAATTTATGGTTTCTAGCACTTGAATTTCTTGAACTTTATTTTCTACCTGTGTTTACACTTTCGGTTCTTTTAAATTTTCGCGAGTTTGCCGTTGCTTCAAGGCTTTTTTTTGTGTAGAGCAGATCACAGCGTGAAATTTCGAATTTGAGTTTTGCATTCTCAATTGCCTCTAGTCAGATTCTCGCCTTAACATAAGGAATTGCTACCCAAATGTACAATGGAATCAAGGTTTAATACATGAAAAACTTCAAATAAGTATGTCCGTGAGAAATTTATTCCAAACTAATTTTTGTACTACCAAAAATCTCAAATCGGTACATCTATGATAAATTTATCATAAACTAATTTTTTGACCATCTAAAACTTTAAACTGGCACATTTGTGACAAATTTATCCTACGTTAGTTTCCGTTAAATTGGATTAATACCACGAAAAATCATAAACCGGTACACTAGTGACAAATGGAGGGTAAAACCCTAAATTGGTACACCCGTCAGTTGCCAAGTGCCATCTAACTCAGTAATTTGACGTTAAAATTTAACAGAGACTAATGGAGAATAAATTTATCGTAAATGTACCAATTTAGGGTTTTTTTATGATTAAAAAGTTAATTCGATATAAATTTATAATAAATGTAGCGGTTTGAAGTTTTTCACGGTATTAACGCTAGAATCAAATAGCGTGGAAATGAAAACAAAGGAACATCCCGTCGGATACCGCAACACGTCGACGGATCTAAATGGGCCGGAAAATCGTAAAACGAGCCCATGTTGTTCATGTGGGCTTTGGTCTTCTTGCTCTTCTTTGGAGCCCAAATAACTTAGCGCATCATCCATCACGGCTTTGGGCCCCACGAGCCTCTTCATGTTCTTTTTTTTATACTTCTCGACTTGGGGCGCATCTGTCGCGGTCTGTCCCTTGTCCGTGGGACCGTGGGAGACCAACCATTTGCCAAAATGCCAGGCTAGCACATCTTTGTTTTACTTCCAGGGGGGGACGTGTGCGAAACGACGTCGTTTCGGGATTGAGAAAAAGTATCGTCGCGGCGGGTCCGGATGTGAGGGCGCTTCGGCTTCCCCATCCTGCCCCTGTTGATTGGAATGGTCAAAGGTCAACTCCCGGCGTTGAAAAAATTTCAAAATGTAAATTGCAAATGGGACGAGAACTCGGCTGACATCCAAATGAATAAAACTTCGGCATCGTAATGGAAGCAAAGAAGCTAAGAAACAACGTTCGGGAGAAAAACGAAAAGTGGGGATGATAAAAATATACGAAAATATGGACCACGACACAAGATGGGGCCGGCCAGTCTGACGCGATCCAGGGAACCGATCACCATCGAGCTAGCCAGCACGGCTCAACAACAACTGAGCCATGCCATACCTAGGTTAGCCCATTTCTCATTTAACAACACCGTGGCACGGCTTCAATAAAATGCACACGTACTTTTCGGTAAACTTTAAGAAGTATATAAATCATTTGCAGCCTTTTTCACCATTAACTATAAAACAACAAAACTAATTCCATAATCCATGTCAACAACATTCATAATTAGGAAAAACCGGGGACCTTAGCACAAAGGCTATTTTGGAAGTATAATGATAATTTTATTTTTATAAAAGTGCTGCCTATTTTTTTGAATTAGGAAATACTACAATAGAAATCCTAAAAAAAATAGTACGGAACATAATTAAGTGCTAAACATTCCAAAACGTACAATCAAAACTTGTATTTTTTTCAAATGCATGCATTCAATTTCTAAGCTCGCCATAGATGACCCCCAGTTGTCAAGAGCAAATTAAGCATTAATTCAATCACTACATTGCAAAAGAACTTAGGGCTTTTACTTTTTACCGTCCATTATTGTTAGTGTTGATCACGAGAATAAATCGAGAATAAGACTTGGATATCGCGATCAATCAAGAAGAATGATTAAGGTTCAATTAATCAGTTATGGGGTCGGTTCAGATGATCATGCACGCCTAATTTTACATCGTTATGGTCAAGCTCATCTTAATTTGGTGAAAGGTTGGATTGATCAAACTTGTGCTTAATTTGTTGGAAGGTTGGAATCTTGTGAAGCCCGAACACCACCAATGACAGAGTTCTGCTCTTTATCTAGGAATCCCTGACCCATGCCTAAATTTACATTGTTATGGTCAAGCTCATGCTTAATTTGGCGAAAGGTTGGATTGATCGAACTCATGCTTAATTTAATGAAAGGTTGGAATCTTGCGAAGCTTGAACATCGCCGCCGACGAGTTTAGGTTGATTGCACGAATATAACATAAGGATAATGACTTAAATGATCTCCGAATTTTTTGTTCAGTATGTAATGTGGTCCATAAACTTTTAATTTTTTCAATGTGATCCATAAACTTTAACCTAACATGTAATATTATCCATGAACTTTTAATTTTTTTTTCAATACGGTCTTTGCATTTTTGATAAATATTTAAACTAGTTCTCAAGCGTTATCATTCCATACGTACAAAAAGTTCAGAAACGGTATTGCACGTTGAATTAATTTTCAGGAATCACATTAAATAAATTAAAATTTCAGAGAACATACTATATACTATATCAAAATTCAGGGTCTATCGGTGTCAATTTTTTCTATAACATAAGCAGTTGGCGCGACACGTGACCAATACCAAACGCCGGGAGTCAGCGTTCAGTGCTTGAAAAAGCCCACAAGGGCAACGATGTCATTTCAACTCCGAAATCGTCCAACGGCAGCGCAATTTCTTGTTTTTTTTTAATTTATTCTCGCGTGCTGCTTCTTCTCCACCTGCCTCTTCACGCCCACCAAACCAGACCTCCCCTCCCCTCCATTCCCGTCGCTCGCGTCCGCATCCCGACGCTCCCTCCCCCCGTTCGGCTCTGCTCAACCGGACATGGCCTTGTCGCGGGCAGCTTCGTCTCCGTCGCACGCCGGCCTCCTCAAGCCCCTCGCCGCCGCCATTTCCTCCCCCTTCCTCCGCCGCCCGATCTCCACGGACGCCACCCCCATCACCGTCGAGACCTCCGTCCCCTTCACCGCCCACCGATGCGAGGCCCCCTCCCGGACCGTCGAGACGACCGCCCAGGAGCTGGTCGGATTCTTCCGCATCATGGCCCTGATGCGCCGCTCGGAGATCGCCGCCGACTCCCTCTACAAGGCCAAGCTGATCCGAGGGTTCTGCCACCTCTACGACGGGCAGGAGGCCGTCGCCATCGGCATGGAGGCCGCCATCACCAAGAAGGACTGCATCATCACCGCGTACCGCGACCACTGCACCTTCCTCGGCCGCGGGGGTAGCCTCCTGGAGGTGTTCTCGGAGCTCATGGGGAGGCAGGCCGGCTGCTCCAAGGGAAAGGGAGGATCGATGCATTTTTACAGGAAGGAAGCTGGATTCTACGGCGGTCATGGAATCGTCGGGGCTCAGGTTCCGTTGGGTGTTGGATTGGCCTTTGCGCAGAAGTATAATAAGGACGAGAGCGTGAGTTTTGCTTTGTATGGCGACGGGGCTGCGAACCAAGGGCAGTTGTTCGAGGCGCTTAACATGGCCGCGCTATGGGATTTGCCAGCTATTTTGGTCTGCGAGAACAATCACTGTAAGATTTTGAGGGTCTTGATTTGTGCGATTGCTTTTGCGTTGGTGGATGGTCAGTCATGCAATCGTATGTATTTTGCAGATGGAATGGGGACGGCCGAGTGGAGAGCTGCGAAGAGTCCTTCATATTACAAACGTGGGGATTATGTACCGGGTTTAAAGGTGATTTCTGAGTTTCATTCGATTCTTTCCAAACGGTTGTTCGCATTCACATCAATAAGCTTTCTGTTTGTTTAATGAATTGCATTTTCGTTACTTTTGTCCTACTTTTTTGTTTTTGCGGCTGGCTGTTCCAATTGTTTCGGAGTTGGTGCAATGTGTAATTGTAGATGGGTTAGTATATGTAATTTTAACTCTCTAAGTTGTTGTGGGTGCACTGCGCTCGTGTGCATATACGTCGAGAGGATTGTTTGGATTCTGATCTTTCTGAGCAGTAGTATGCATATTACAATATTACTAGGTGCTAAGGTGAATTGATTGATGTCAATGAGATGGGATCTCCCTTGTGTTGAGTGGTCCTGTACTGTTAGCAGATAAATGAGGGAGGGGTGGGAATAAATCATATGTAGGCAAGTTCTACGTTACTGGCCTTGCTCTTAAAGTTGTTCCAGTTACAGGAGCGTAGATCCTATGCTGTTCAAAATAGTAGCATATTGATGATATCACCTCAAAGAGTGACTCAGTATGTGCTGGCTTTGAATTCAAAATTGTATCTAATCTTCACGATTTGGGAGGACCTTTAATTGATCTTGCCCTGTAGCTGTTATGGAGGTCCAAATTTTTTATACGAATTGTTTGGCGTGCTGACAGCTGAAGTTCTGAATTGAATGATTTTTGGGAAGTTAGGTAGTGCACAGAATTTACGAGGCTAGGTTATATTTATGAAGAAAACAGCTAGCAGTTTACTATGATTTTTGATGTTGTGGAATAGTGGTGGTTCAAAGGTATACCCTTATCTTCTTAACTGGTCGGTGGAACATGTACTCTACTTTTGTAACAATTCTAGCGCTAAATCATTGTTCATAGACCCAAGTTTTTGTGATACACTTCTTCCCACACTTGAGTATTTTTGCAATGTTCACTCTCTTCAGACTCATTTAGTTCAGTGTTTATCCTTTACTGCAGGTGGACGGCATGGATGCCCTTGCTGTGAAACAGGCATGCAAATTTGCTAAGGAGCATGCTTTGAAGAATGGCCCTATTGTGAGTGATTTATTTTGTTTTTACATGTTTATCTGCTCGTTAATCATCATCAACTGGTGTTTTCACGATCTTGATGCTTGTACTTGCTAGTTGCTACTAGTGTCAGCTTTAGAGATAGCATCTTCTTCCTCTTAGAGCTGTCCACTAGTTATACGAGGAGGCTGTTAGTCATTGAGACGAGGACAGTTTCAATTTGTTTGCAATCGGTGCAATCTATATGTTTCCCTTGATTTGCCCGCCATGCAGGCATGCACCCCTATTTGTTAGACTCATCAAAGTAAAAGTGACACTTCTTTAGTATCTGGTCGACTAACCGGTAGTCTCTTACTACTATTAGTTAGTGCCCTCTCGAGATATTCAAATTGCTACCATAGTTGCCAGGATTTGTTCCACAATAAAAGATAGACTTCTGGATTCTGCAAAGTAAGGAAGTGGAGAATGATGAGGGTATATTATCTCGATGACTTGAGAATAGGTTGGAGGCTTCTAGCACCCATGTTACTGAAAGTGAATCACATGGATAGAGGTTCGATCGAATTTAGAGATGTGAACTGGCATTTGCTTGAGATTCCAACAACATAAACGAGTCACCTGCAACACAGAAATTGAAGGTATGTGTTGGTTCCTAGATGATGTGGATTGTGTTAAGGAGCTATTAAATGGTCATTACCAGCATCAAGCAGTACAGAAATAAAATGTTTGAGGTAATGTTCAATTAAGGATGTGATATCTAGGACATTCTTGGGAGGGAATAGTGGCAGGTGAGTTGTTACTCAGCCCAACTTCATGGGAACGTGTGGGCTTGACAAGTGTTGAGCATGTTTGGACATGGGAGCTGGGTTTTATTGATGCAGCATCCATTTTTTCCCCTTCCGGTGCTGCATAGTCAGGGTGTCATTCTGTGACTAAGTACACAAACAAATTTGCTAACGTAGAGCCAGGAATGGCCAAGGAGGATACATGTTCATTCATTAATATCATTATAGATACGCCGAAGAATAAGAAGTTCCTGGAGTTAAGTGGGTGATTGGCTATTGTCATCGCATCCTCGTTGTCATATTGTCCTGTTCATAGGAATGCAACCCAAAGACTCATGGTTCTTGGCTTGTTCTCTGTCCACTCTTTTCTTACGGGAAGGTTTAGTATGGAATTTCTGGTGTTTGCTTGAGGTTTCTAGTTAGGTGCAAATTGAGATGTAAGTAGTCAGTTACTCCGACTGATAAATACTTGCCTTGGCTGTACTCGAGTTTTCCTCTGACCTCTGTTAGTTCAACTGTTTGGCCCCACACACTTGTTTTGACATGATAGGAATTAGATAATAGGTAGGAGTATGGATCTACTTCGTCTCTCTATCTCAAGGTTGGGCATGCCTTTTGAGAATTCATTGTGAAATCACTCTTGCATGAAATCACGCCATGCTTAAATGATGAAGAGAAATACTGAAGTTTACAGAGTTTCAGGAGATCATCCACACCATGTAGATGTTCTCTGACAGGGGAATGTATCCACAGATCCAGGTTTCTAAATACTCTTTTGTGGATTCATGCGATCAAACTTAGAATTAGAGAACTCTGACAAGCCATTTTCTCATGGCACCTGTATCTTCAATCCAAGAAAGAAAGATGTTATTAGGTGCTGAATTGGTGGCATCGTATGCAAGATCCTCTCAAGCAGCGGATCCTTCCAGCTGTCTGATGCTTAGCAAAGCTTCTCTCGCTATTTCGCATTTTTCTTTTCTGGTCTTGCGACACCAGGAAGCATCAGTGTCCTTTCTTTGCCATCTGCTCTTGCTTTGCGTGAGTGAGAGAATACTTGAGGCTGCAGGGCAACTTATTGTTAGCTTATGTTTAACTTTCTTCTTTGATATTTGTAGTCTGTACCTTCAATCTCATATTTAAAAACATTTTAAGTTTGATATAACCTACTTATTTATAGCCATGCTGAGCTAAGAGAGTTCTTTATCGTGTGTCCACAGTGGATGGATAGTAAGGATTTTTCTGTGTCTACAAACTAGTGCAAATACCAATTCATCATCACATTTGATGCTGTGTTCAGATTCTTGAAATGGACACCTATAGGTATCATGGCCACTCCATGTCAGACCCGGGGAGCACATACCGTACTCGTGACGAAATCAGTGGTGTACGACAGGTGAATACATGGTTATGTTTGATAAGGATTTGTCCCATTTTTTATTTTGGGATTTAATATTTATAATGTTTCCCCTTTAGGAGCGTGATCCAATTGAAAGGATTAGAAAGCTGCTATTATCTCTTGACCTGGCAACAGAAAAGGAGCTGAAGGTAACTTTCTCGATTTGGATTTATGTATACGTAGCACATGGTTAGCACTGAATATTCTGTAAATTGCACGTTTAAATGTCTAAAAAGTTCATCTATGCCGAAGATAGTGAAGAAGCATTTATGGTTCAAAAGAATGGTGCAATGCGGATACTGAAGCCTTTACCTTCCTTTCTCATTCTAATTTGCTGTCCATATTTCCATCTGTTAGGATATCGAGAAGGAAGTAAGAAAAGAGGTTGATGAAGCTATTGCTCAAGCCAAGGTAAGAATTATGTTTAGATTATTCTGATTGTTGGGAGGTAACTATCTTGAGCAAAATCAATAATCTAATTGGTCATTTTGCTTAGCATTTGTTGGAAGTAATTGCCCTCACTTGTTATTGTTGACACCATAACATGTGTTTTTTCCTCTTCTCCAGGAAAGTCCAATGCCTGAACCATCTGAACTGTTCACCAATGTGTACGTGAAAGGTTACGGAGTTGAGGTAATTCTTATTAGATTTGTTTCATGTCATTTATCATTCATTAGGGCCTGCTGTTGGCTTCGCCAGTGAGATGGGGCACAATGCGATATGGTAGTTGGTAGTGCTTCCAAATTCCAACTACAACGAAATGTGTTTTGCTTATTAGAGCAGATACTTGATATGCTGAAACATGCTTGTACAGATATTTTTCAATCAAATATTGTCTGAATATTTTGTGTGATAAGGTTTACACACAATCTGTGGGCCAAGTTATTGGAGATACGTCTCCTTTGGTCCATCATTTTGAAGGGTTAACTTGAAAAATTGCTTTTTGTCTTGAAAAAGAAACAATTCCGTGTTCGCATAGCTATACCGTCAAACTTTATTTGTTAAAAGTGTGTCTTTTTCTATAACAAACTAGCAACATGAATTGAGGATGCGTAATGAAATCAGTTGGGTCAGTGAAGAATGTGATGTTGTTCATAGCTATCTGAGTGCCAGAATGCTCTGGTATTAGTTTTTGCATCAGATGAACACGAGATCTTAGTGTTCTTTGTAGTCCAACTAATATTTTTTTTGGATAAGAATACTATACAAGTGAAGTTGTTGGAACTTTTCTTTTTTAGGATTTGAATTAATTCTTTTGTATGAATGAGGCAAATCAAAGAGTGGAATAGGGTCAATTTCTGCACCTGGATGTATGAAGTTACTTGTATATGCAGAAGAAATCTGCAATCAGGGAATGAGCGAGTGAAGATCGAATTTTAACGTGGTTAACTTGGAGACTTACTGCAAATAAATTTGGTATCAAGATTAATTAATTTGTTTTCACTATGTACCCCTCGTAGAGAAGATAAGTGTGTGTATAAGGTCCAGACATGCTGTAGATGACTATCTTTATATTTCAATCTGTAATCCTGGGTTTCTGGATCTATTGCAGAGCTTTGGAGCAGATAGGAAAGAAGTGAGAGCCGTGCTTCCATGAAATCGGATTTTTTTGGGAAGTATCAAAAAGGTATTTTGACCTCTGCAGATGCCAAAGTCACGAACAAAAGGAAGAATAACAGGTGGGACCAAGATGACTGCCAATTTGTGGCCTCCTTGTTGTCTTTTTTTTTTTTTTTTTCTTTTGGTATGTGCAGCAGAGGTGAACTAAAATTATTTTTTACTTTTCGCTTTTCCTTTTACGCTTTGTCTATTTTTTGTGGTTTTCTCGGTTACTTCTTTTCTTGGGTTCGAAAAGTTCAATGAATGTGCCAAGGATGTTTTGAACACATTGTAGTGACCTTCTAAAAAGGTCCGTTTGATTTAGCAGTTGCCATGCTGTTTGTGCTCTGTAAAAATAAAAGAGCATTAATGGAATTCACTTTTACTCCGAGCACAATAAGAGTTTGGGACCAGCCGTTGAGGGCTATGAATTTATTTCTCACATTCTTTGGGCCGTGGTCCTTTGGTATGGATATTGCTTGCACGGGCCCCTAGTAGGAGACATCTGGTTCCCTTTTTTTTTTTTTTTTTCATTTATTGGTTGGATAGGGGTGCCACTATGAAGTCCAGTGAATTTGTCCCAGCTTATATTGCTTTGAAGTGAGCAGACTCTTGATTTTCCCGTGTAGGACTTGAATATTTCCTTGGCCATCCTTGTTGCAATTCTGGGGATCTCTCATCTTTTAATGTTACCTTCCTCGTGTTAATTTAGTCAGTACCTTTCAATTCACTTAATTTATGTTTGCTAGCTGAAACTGTTGTGATAGTGGCGCGGTCACCTGGAAATCCTGAGCAGTGTTTGCGTAATAATATGCTTCGTTTAATAGATAACTAAGTAAACATATTCTAATTTAATTCTTTCTTTCCACCAAGTACAAGCAGTAGGCGCTCTTCATCCAATAGGCTTCTGGACTTCTGCTCATTTTTCTCTGTCAAATCCATGCTAACAGCTAAAGAAGTTGGAAAGAAAACGGTTGGGCATGTTCTCATACTTTACAAGCGGCACTGAAGAGTCTGCTGCTTATAATTTTGTGGCAGATGATTCATAGTGAGATAAAGGGTAGGTCTACTCTGTAGAGAGTATTCTTTCTAGTGGTTTCTGAGTCTCGCCGTGTCCTTACTGGCTTTCCATGAAAAAACGATAAGTACATGCAAACAATGCACCAAGTAGCCACTGGCGAATCTGTTGATATTTGGTTGAGGGGTAATGCTGTTCACTTCTTGCTCTTGGTCGTGTCTGAAAAGAGATTAGTCGACTTCCACCTAAAAATTAAACAATCAATTTTCTTTTGGGTTAATACCACGAAAAATCCCAAACTGGTACACCTGTGATAAATTTACCCCAAACTACTTTTTTAATCACAAAAAATCCCAAACTAGTACACTTGTGATAATTTCACCCGAACTAATTTTTTGGCCACCAAAAACCCAAACTGGTACACCTGTGACAAATTTACTCTCCGTTAGTTTCCGTTAAATTTTACTGTCAAATTGCTAAGTTTGATGACACGTGGTAGTTGACGGGTGTATCAGTTTGGGGTTTTACCACTCTGTTTGTCACAAGTTTATTAATTTGTAATTTTTCATGATATTAATCCAATTTACCGACACTAACAGAGGGTAAATTTGTTACAGGTGTACTAGTTTAGGATTTTTAGTGGTCAAAAAATTAGTTTGGGGTAAAATTGTCACAAGTATATCAGTGTGGAATTTCTGAAGCTTGACGATGTAATGGGAGGAATTAGGTCTTTGATGGATTCGTTGTTGTCGATTCGCAACATATATCATCATAGCTATAATTGCAATTATCTTGATTTGAGTGTAGAAATACATATTCTTCCTAAGAAAAAAGTAATGGTTGCAAGAATTCGGAAAATTGCAGTGAAAACTTTAATGCATGAAAATGAAATGCATGGAGTTCATCCTGGCTTCTGTTTGGTCGGTCTCATATATTCTTGTTGGTCATGTCGTCATTTGCGATGCTTTTTAAGTAGTGCAAAGCATTTTCACACCACAATCCTGTAAATATTAAGCCATAGCACAACGTAACAAGCTCTCATATTCAAGCTCACCATTAATACAAGTCAACTGATCAAATCCATCCTACACAATTAAACCCTAACAGTTTTCATCCTCCAAGGTTCTTGCGGATTTTGGCTATGTCTTGCCGCGTAATCTGGAACGCTGTTCCTAATACTTCGTCAGGTATCCCTGGTTTTGACATGAACGCAGCAAGTGAAGCAATTTGGACACCTGGGTTTTGACTACTGAGCCCTGAGATGGCCAATGCTGAGTTTGTCGAATCAAAGTTGTAGAGGTAGTGAATCAGACCTTTAGGGAATACAAATGACTCGCCCGGTCGCAGTATTTGCGTAAACAGGCGGTTGGAAGTGTCCACAAAGCCGACACCGATCACCCCCTCGAGGCAAATGGTCACCTCCGAGGCCCTCGGGTGCGAGTGGGGTGGCACCAGCCCGCTGCCCACAATATCGATTCTAGCCATGGTCAAGCCCATCGTATTGAGCCCCGGCAAATTGGCCATGTTTGTGAGCGTGACATTGAACCCAAATCGGTTGGCCTTTGGGTTGCCTGGCTTGGATAGAGCAGAGGTGGTGAAGTGGGAAATGCTAGCTGAATCTGGGTCAATGCAGGGTGCACCATTGACCCAAAAAGAATGCCGGTTTCTCATGTCCGCAATGCAGTAATCTTGAAGCGGATCGGGGTCAGTTTGGGCCTGGCTCAATATAAGAGCTAGGACGACCAGCGTCGGAAGACGGGAAGGTGTAATCCTAATGACGGCCATTGGCCTTGTGTAAATGATGTGGGTTTTCGGTGCCTGGATAGGATTTAAGAGAAGCTGTGACATGTTATATATAGAAGCTGTGGGAGAGTGATGCTTTGATGGAATGAAAATGAATATGTTCTGATGTCATGGGATTGAGTAACTTAAGAGCATGAAAAAGAGGGGAAAAAGGAGCAAAGGCAAGTTTTAAGGGATTGAGTTTCAAGTCACAAAAAGGCCACAAGTTGTGATAGCATGTGCTCTGTGTTCATTGGCCAAGTGGATCAGACCAGCAGAAGCTTCTTTAGCATGCTCTCCCTTCAATGTCTGCAGCCAAAAGAAAGGCAAAGGAGGAAATAAAAGTGTGTTTGACATGTGCGTGGGGGCAAACAAATAACCAGACAAAGCCATACACAGAGTCAAAATAATTGGGTCTTAGTACGTCCCTCGTGGAGTGAAATGGTGGAATCAACTGTGCTCACTCTGAGGGATAATGTTCGGTGCGTATCTTAGGATGCGTTTGTTTTACTGAAAATTAATTATTAATTATTATTTGTTTAGTGATTTAGAAAAAGCGGTTTCCTTCTTGTTAGAAGAGGAAGTCGTTTTCCTCTAATCTAAATTTGTTATTTTCAATTTGTGGTAAATGTTCTTCGTAAATCGATTAGTTTTCTATCTTCCAAACATCGGAAAGTCGAAAAACAATTTCCGTGAAAACGTTTTTCCTTCAAACGGATGGACCCTTTAAGTTAGTATATCAAGAAATTGCCGATCCTTATTAGTGGTCGAGTATAACCCACTTGTCTCGATACCCATATGTAATCTCCCAATTCGTATACTACTAATTGGTCTTTGTATGCCTAGCATTATTTCTGTAGAGAGCGAACGATATTTTCTAATTTCATCTAATAACTTTAAGATAATAGCCAAATTAAAAGCTAATTACTTCAGAACTAGAACATGAGGTACTGCAATAACCAACACAATAAACGAACGGACCCTTAAAGTTAGTATGCTTGGATCTAATCTGTTTGTGCAAATTCCACATGTTACACTACGTACGACTTACGACCATTCCATAAACACTAATCAAACAGACATAAGTGCCCAACTAAAGATCTTGCATAACTCAACCTTTTCTGCGGTTTATGCTGTTGGTTGTAATCCGGCGTTTAATAAGCTTTTTCAGGAGCACACGACCAGGAGCGCAAAAGTCAGAAACACAAGTTGGAAATTTGGACGCGGCCTTTGCTTCAAGATCTCGGTAATAAGTGAAAGAAAGGTCAAATCTTCCATTTGTCCAACGTCAAACACCCAACTTTTCAAAGTGCATCGATTTTGACTCGCTCTAAAAGAAATTAGCAAGAACAATTAACGGGTCTTTACCGCGATCTCGGTTGGATTAGAGCTTATTGCCAAAGTAATGCCACAGCGATAAATGTACCAATAACATCCCATTTGTACCCCACTCTTGCTTACGCTTCGACTTTCATTTCTTTTCCATTTCTGCTGGACTTACACTTCAATTCTCGTAGTTGCATCACGTTGAAGTATGCACAGAGATTCTTTCACACTAGTGAGCTGTCCTTTTTCCTGCGCAGCTCACGCCTTTCCTAACCCTCCATCGACCGCAATCAATCTAAAGCTGTCTTTTGTATTTATGAAACCACTGGCTATCCTGAGAAAATTTCCTTACGAGAGATGGAGGCGAGCTCACGGTATTTCGCCATTTCAGATGCGTTGATGGAACGACCCTTTTGGTTTTTGGGCATTCGTGGTCATGATCATGATAAAAATTTTCAATTTTTTTTGAAGGGGGATAAAGTGTCCACGTCGTATTAGTTGAAGCAATTCAATCTCGCGGCCCACAGGAGTTGAGACGCAAGATCCGTCATTAAATCACTGGCTCATAATTTCAGTGGTGGGCCTCGCTTTTCTCCCTGATCTCAGAAGATGGGCCTCAGCTGATCCCCACGAATATGATGCAGAAGAGTTAAAAGGGGAGCCATAGAAAAAGGGTTGCAAGAAGAGGTCACCCTATATTTGGAATTTTGGTAGAAGTTCGTGTTGCTCAGCTTCATCATTGAACCGAACAGTTCGTAGTAGCAACTAAGGGAAAAATGCTTAATTTCCGATTATGGAAACCGCTCTTTGACTCGACTCGAGAGATTGCGCTCGAGGAAGCGTGGAAGGGGTGGTCCGAATTCCGGCGAAGGCGACTTTCACACAATCGGCACTAGAAACACATGGTCGAGTATTTTATTCATTACCATGAGACAAGGGATTGTTGTTACTCGATTAGATTACTATGGTAATTCAAGAGATTTAGGCATTGGAAATGGGCATCTTTTAAGCAATGATTTCGACGCTCGTTAAATCTACTTAATAATAGATTTCTTGATTTTCATAGCATTAGTCACCCATACCACTGAAAAAGCAGCACATTAAAAATTATAAGTATTTATTATTTGATTTCTCAAATAAATGTCTTCACGAGATTTATTACTAAAACGATGTCACCCTTCCTTGGTGTGAAAAGCAGTAAGCAAAGCATGACAAAAGTTAAAAAAGGTGGTGGTGAAAAATCTCTCCCTTTCTTATCATGGGATTCATCATCTTAGGTGTCCTCCACAAAGTACCACAAGCGGACAAGGGTCTCTTTTTTTTTTTTTGGTCAAAAAAAAATAAAAAAAGCCTGTGGGGGAGAGGAGCGACAGAGAGAGAGACGGGGTGCAAGTCTCTCGGACAAGCAACACTACGCGAACACATGTTCATGTTTTGACCAAAAAAATAAAAAAGAACACATGTTCATGTGCTTCTTCTTCTTCTTCTTCTTCTTGTCCTCACTGTTCTCGATGATCTCTCCTTCTTCTGACTCATGGGAAAAAAAAAAAAATGGCCCATGATTCATCATCGTGTCACCGTGCGTTTAGCTGAATAAAGTTTGTCCCTTGTCTAGTTAACCCCCCTGGCAGTGCAAATCTTGATCAAGGTAACACCCGTTTGTGCTCTGAATTTGTTTAGTAAAAGAACCCAGTTGGTTGAATCTTGGTTTAGTCACTGTTATATGAGCATATCTTTGTTCTGATTAGTTTTGGACTGTTGGTGAACTCTGTCCATCTTGTGGTTCTTTTTCATGGGACGTGATCCGAACAGATGGGTGAGAGTGTAGCTTCAAATGCTGCTCTTGAGGTGTCGGTTTCGTTCGGTAGGTTCGAGAATGATTCGCTCTCCTGGGAAAAATGGTCGTCTTTTTCGCCGAATAAGTACTTGGAAGAGGTCGAGAAGTGTGCAACTCCCGGATCAGTTGCCCAGAAGAAGGCCTACTTTGAAGCCCATTACAAGAAGATTGCTGCTCGAAAAGCAGAGCTGCTGAATCAGGAGAAGCAGATGGAGGATGGCTCTTCCGGATCAGATGACGGAAGATGCGAAGATCCGGGGAGTGAAATTAACGAGGGCGTTTTTGAGATTGATGGGTCGAAGGATGAGAATTTGGGTGCGGTGATCGAGCAAGTCGAGGACTCGGTTGATGAAGTGGGTCAAAGTTCTCTTGAAAAGCAGATTCATGATGTTGTCGTCGCAGTAGAAGACCAAATGGTACCGGTCGAGGGAGTCAAAGAAGAACCAGATTCGAGCCGGAGCGCACACGGCCTAAACTTGGAAAAGCTAGAAGACGATGAATTTGTGAAGGAGGTAGTACAAGAAGTTCAAATTGGATCTTCAGAAGTGAAGGAACTTCATCATAATGTTAAGAATGACATGGTCAAGACTGAAAAGGTTCAACAGGAAAATGTGAAATTGAATCTGATCAGAAAACCTCAAAAGGTGAGGCAATCAAGTGTCTTTCTTTTGCTTTCTTTTTCTTTCTCTACTAAATTTTGGCTGTATATAATCAGGTTTTATATGCTTTCTAAGTTTGACCTGGTCATTAATCTCCTTGTGCTTATGTTTTGTATAGCTTAATCCAACAAATAAGGAGAGAAACATGACGAAAACAAAGAAAACGCCGGATTCGCTGGTTGTCAAGTCATCGTTACGAGCATCTGCCCTGAGGTTATCTAAGCCAACTTCCGCTTCCACTGCAAGATCTACAGCAAAGCCTTCGGCAAAGAAGGAAACAGTCCCGACGTTACCCCGGAAGAAGAACACTCTCAATGTAGAGATCAAGAAAGTTCCTTCTAAATCACTGAACATGTCCGTTAGTTCGGATTTTACAAATTTCAGTCGATCCGATATCTCCATGTCGAGGAAATCTCTAATTATGGAGACAATGGGCGATAAAGACATTGTTAAACGGGCATTCAAGACTTTTCAGGGCAGTCCGGCGCTGTCGAAATCGTTCTGTGGAGAGAGATCTTCCGTGCCAAAGCCAGTGAGTTGTCATATATTCCCATGAAAAGAACTCTTGAGCGGCTCTAGTTTGCATTTCCAGACTTTGGTGTATGTTACTCTGCAAGAAGTCGAACCAGACTTCTAATGTGTAATTCTCTTGGAATTTTTTCATGTGCAGGCCCCTTCACTGGTGACTGAAGCGAGGAATTCTAATTCTGCGACCGAACGGAAATGCAAAGAAGGGTAAAGTTAGAATACAATAATTGGAGATTATGTTGAAGAAGCTTGCTTGCTTATAGAAAATTATGATAGTCCCTTTGAATTTGTAAATAGCAGCTATTTCTTAACCCAGCGTCGTAAGGCCTTAGTGCAATCTCGGATATAGGGCAACTAACAGAAACTGAAACTACTGAAAGGGGGCAATGTGATGTATCTGAGCAACTTGTCTTCCTCTGTGTTGTTAATATAAAACGGACCAGCTAATAATATATAGTCATATGGTGTTTTTCCCTACGTTCAAACTGAAACAATCATTTACCTTATTCAAGTTTACAAGAAGTCTTGTTTGGAAAGTTTAATTGCTCATAGAAAGAGCTGGCAGGCTTACTTTGTTATTGGACTGAAAAGGAAAATAGTCTCAGTTCCTTTACAATAATAATGATGACGAAATTATGGATCCAGTACTGGCTTTTGCAAATAAATTTCCAAAAGTTTATGAGATTTTCTCCTTTTATAGCAAGATTGTTGGTTCATGGGACTTGGTCCCTCGAGCGCCCCATATATGATTAGTGTTTCTTTTTATGTAATGGGTAATATACATGTTTTTCATTTCAGCCTCTTGGATTATGAGAGACTGTCCAGTTTAAATTTTTTTATTCCTATTGTTGTTTTTTCCTCCTAATCTGGTCCAGCATGAATAACTGCGTTCATACTATATCCATTCTTGAGAATTGTCTGTTTCTTCCTGTTATTTGACATTTAGCAACCATATTATGTCAAAATGTGTCTGCATCTGCTTTTGTCATTTCTTTGTTTGTTAATGGTCCCATTGCATGGGTTTGATGCATCAACAACACAATAGTTTGGGAAATTATGAACTTCTCTTGATCCCTATTTACACCATTCCTGATGTTGACATATGTCAAAAACGTGGTCCATATTATGGCTGAAGACTTTATAAGACGCACATTTCTGTTTGCAAGAGTCGATTTGCTCGTCGGTCTAGAGTTTCGGTGTTATCTTTCTATTCTCTCAAAATCTCGCTGTGGAAAACTCGTACAACAGGCAAACCAAAGCTGGAAGTGTGGGTAAAAAGGTTCCTAAGATTCTCCCGTCTTCTTTTGGGTCAAGAAGTGATGAACGGGCAGAGAAGAGGAAAGAGGTATCGTAGGAAATATCATTTATAATTCCCCTCTTGTTATTTTGTCATCGTGTGTAAATTTATCTCTCTTTATGACTACACACCAGTTTAGGAAGAACCTGGAGGAGAAATCTACTATCAAGGAAGTAGAGAAGATACGCCTTCATTCAAAACCAAAGGTACAAATAAACAATTCACATGATTTTGTTGGTCGTGGTATATTTTGAAAGTCTTCGTGATGAAGCCTTTTATGACTCTTGCCTGGATGATTTTGGATGATTTCTTTTCCTTTGATCCACTGCTTCTGTCCATATGGTCGTGCAATAAGTATATGATTCACGGCCTTTTTTCCTGAACCTGAGTGATTCTTTCCAGGAAAAAAAGGAGGAGGAGATGAAAAAATTAAGGCAAAGTCTCAATTTCAAGGCTACGCCCTTGCCGGCTTTTTACCACGGGCAAACTAAATCAAAGAACTATCTTGCTAAGGTAAATTATCTCTATTTATGTAGTTTACACAGAGTGGGCATCGTATTGTATTGTTCTTGAGCTCTGGAACATTGACAACTACTATCATCTAGTAAGACTTAGCGACCAATGTATGACTTGGGTATGGGTGAGGCTGAAAGTTTCATTCTGTCATATTTGGTGCAACCCCTCGTTGCTTTGCCAATTCAGAGTAAGTAAAAATTCAACCCTGATTTTTCTAGGCCCTTGCTACTCAAATTCCAAGAGATCGGGAATCCTTATTTATTAACTAGTTGCCCTAATGTCCCCAATAAGAATATAGTGGTTTTATTTTCTTTTGATTTTGTTAATCTCTCTGAAGAGAGAGAAAGAGAATCTACAATTACACATTACAAAGAACCACCAGTAAGTTTTCGAACATCACATAATTTTGGCATGAATTCAGTTTATGGTGTTTCAAGCTTTGCCGTTTTCAGAAACAGAATTAACACTGCTGAAGAAGATGGTTATGAATTCAATTTCACAAGATGGGCGCTTGTTTGTTTACAGGAAGGTTACAAGAGTGAAACCCGTGGTTGACGAAAGTTGATTTGGGGAGAAGGACAAGCTCTCCATGAACAGATGGTTGTTAAGAGAGACCGAAAGGTGTGTTACTGATACGAAGCACGGACTGGTCAAGCAGACAGGAAATATATCTGAACAAGTTGGACCGATGCCCTGACTCTGTTATCCGACGTTGAGTCGAGGGTGAGTGGCGGATTGTACATAGGAATACCTAGAACAGACAATAATATAAGTCAAAGTCGATAAGTCAGTGTCTATCTTAATAATTTAATGAAGTTAAGGTTTAGCTCTCTTTCTAGTGTCATTAGTGACATTACATGTCTGTAGTTAATCATGAAATCATATGCACTGAGCAAGTGAACTTTGATGTCTATATGATATCAATTATGAAAGATTTCTTCTCATGATCTTGATTCGACATATAAACATCATGGAAATGATGTGAATACCATCTGAGTTCTGTTCAGTAAGAAAACAAGTTCATGTGTATTTCTGTAATCGAGCCGTAAATTAAAAAAGAGTGGGAGACACCATGTTGAAGCTGAGACAAAATGAAAGAATTTTGGTAGATATGATCCAAATTGTTGACAATCACCGAATGGGCCAATGTACATTGATGATTTATGAAAGAATCTGATGTCTATATGGAGGGGAAAAAATCACTTGGTCAATTCATCAATATGTTCGACCAAAATATAAAAGTTCATCGATATGGTGATGAGAGATATGGTGATGAGAACTATGTACAGCAATCGATTCGTCATCGTCGAGGTTCTTCCTTAGAACTCTGCATCAGAATCGCTGGAAGTGCTGCGCCTAAGCTTCTCCAACATGATATGCGACAAGTTTGGAAACCTTGCGGGAGACCTCGTCGGTGACTTTGGCGACACCGACGATGGTGCGGAGCTCGCCATGGCGGTCTTCCTCCTCTGCAAGTTCCGAGTGATTTCGACGCACACCTGATCGACCATGCCCAGAAAATCTTTGACCACGATGAATAAGTGAAGCGGTTTTTCTCCATTTCGTCTAGATGCTCCCGATTGATAATACTCAGTCGTCCTCTTCACAAATTCCATCGCTTTCCTCTGCTCTTCCCTTAAAGAGCTTAATTCTTCTTCTGCCGACTCGATGAATCTCCTTAGTTCCTCGCCTAATCCACTGCCGTCGCTCACGCATAGATCCGTAACCTGCCGAATCTCGGCAATACCGCGTGCTAGCTCTGCGCATGAGGAGGCGAAGCTGTCGTAGTCGATCATTGCTGCTTTCTTCACGTTAGAGAACTCGGCACTAAGTCCTCCTACTACTGGTAATCCCAGCATGATGTACTCGTTCTCTCTTTCATCTTTGGGTTTCGAATTCTCCGAATCTGTGCTCGAGCTGGTGCTTCTACGACTGCTCGTTCGGCTCAAACTATAATCCCGATTGAGAGCACACCGCTTCCCCTCGGATCGCACGACTTGTTCCACTACGAAGTGAAGCAACGTGGTTTTCCCGTCAATGCTTTTGACATCCGACAGCTTTCTAAGCGCGTCGAGGTTGAATGCTTGCGCGTTGCCTCTGGAAGTTCCTGCATTCATTCGGTTTCCGGCTTTAAGGATCGCTTCTAGTAGCTTTACAAAGAGTCCACGAGTACGAAGCTCCTCGCATGCGAATTCCAGTGTCCGGATAGATTCCTTCAGGTGAAGGATGTCCGACTTGAAGTTCGATCTGAAAAGCATGGCGTTAAAGCGAGCAAAGGCCGATGGAACTGATTTTAGGAGGTGGTACAGGTAGGACTCCGCATCCGCGAGCCTGGTGGTGTCTCCGTCGAATTGAAGGATTTGAGACTGTTCTTCTGCTGTTGGCGCAACCTTGTTGAGCTTCTCGAGGACGTCTATGCTTAGGCCTTGATCTTCCGTGACCGCATAGAGGATCTCGTTGCGGGAAACTCCCAGGGTCTTGAGCACAATCGCAATGTTCTGCGACTTGCGAGGGTCCAGGATGAAAATTTTTGACGATGGATTCGAGTTGGTTTTGCCGGTCAAAGCCAAACCCGAGGAGGTCTCCTTTTCTCGAGTGGAGTTCCGATTGCCCGGAACGAACCCAAACAGATCTTCCATAAGATCATCGTCGAACCTGCAAGTGCACCCAAAATTACATTAATCCTAGATTTGTCGAGCCTGCATAATTATGGACATAGTCTTAACTGTTACACTATCTGAGCCTTCAGTGTTGAATTGTCACAACTTGAGGTTTCGATCAAAGTCTACATGTATTGGTGTGATGTTTATAAATGTGACTGCTTGCAGACACATTGATTCAGAAACAACTCTGTAAAGTATGTGAAAAGAATCGGGTTTTACCTGAAAGAACCGTCGCCGACCTTGTCCCAAACCATGGAGTGATCCGCATTGGCCTCAAACTTCTCCCAGTGAAGAGGCTTCAGTTTCACCTGACCAGGTGAAGCTGAAGGCTCTCCCTGTTTCCCCTGCTTTTCTAGTCCTTTTGTTGGAGTGGGTGGTATTTTTGATGATTCCAAACCGCGCAGTTTACTTGGCGGAGGTGGTGGTGGTGCTACTGGTGACGGTCTTGCTGGCGGTGTGGGAGGCGGTGGTGCTGCCGATAGCGGACGTGATGATGCTGCCGGGGGTGGGGGCGGCGGCGGCGGCGCTGCTGATGGCAGACGTGGTGTTGGTCGTGCAGGCAGCGGTGGCACTGCTGATGGTGGGCGTGGTGGTGCTGCTGGTAGGGATTGCCGTGGTGGTTCAGCAGTTGAAACCGCAGAGAAAGTCAATGTCTCCTGTGGTTTCCTAGGCGGTGGCGGTGGCGGCACCTCTGATGGTGGATGTGATGGGGCTGCCACGGACTGCGGCAGCGGTGGTGACGCTGCTAATGGCAGAAGTGGTTGAGGTGGTACCATCAGCGGTGGCACTGCTGACGGTGGACGTGGTGGTGCTGCTGGTATTGGTCGCATTGGTGGTTCGGCAGTTGAAACCGCAGAGAAAGTCAATGGCCCCCGTGGTTTCCTAGGCAGCGTTGGTGGCGGCGTTGGCGGTTCAATCGGTCCGGGTCTCTCAACGGCCTCGAGGACAGCTACTCGGGCTGCCGGGGACCCTGGCACTGGTGGTGACGCTGCTAATGGCGGACGTTTTTGAAGTGGTGCCGTGGGCGGTGGCACTGCTGATGGTGGACGTGGTGGTGCTGCTGGTATTGGTGGCGGTGGCAGTTCAGCAGCGGAAACCGCAGAGAAAGTCAATGCCTCCCATGGTTTCCTAGGCGGCGTCGGCGTCGGCTGTTGAAATGGTCTGGGTCTCTCAACAGCCTTGAGGGCAGCTACTCGGGCTGATGGAGGGGGTGGTAATGGATACAAAGCTGCATTCACGCCGATTGCATCCTCATCTACTTGTCTAACTTGAACATCGTTATCTTCACGGGATGATGATCGCTTCTCTCTCAGTAAGGGCACTTCTTGAATGTGCTTGTCAAAACTCGTGTCCCCGTCTCTCCTTTCGCTCACATCTTCCTCTTTATGGCCTCTTGGACTCCGCACGAACACTTTGCTCGGGCTCTTCTCCAAGAAACTCCCGGTCCTCTCCCCCTGCATCTGGAGCCTCCGCCAATAAAGAACGTCCAATCCATTCTCATCCACAATCAGCCCCTTGATACCTCCTCCGAATCTCATGAAGTCCCCGCGAGGCATCGGCGCAAAGCGCCCCATCTCCGCCGATCCATGATCCGGACCCCGTCGGCGTCTCCACCTCTGGATCACAAAGAAGAACAGCGTGGCGACAACCAGCGAGCTGGCCGCGGCGGCTGCCACGGCCTTGATGACCGTCTTGAGTGAGGACAACGAGGGCAGGGGCGGCGGCGGCGGAGGTGGAGGCAGAGGGGCTTGGCACGGGCCTCTGAAGGGAGGAGGAGTAGAGTTGGTGGTGGTAATGGCGGTGGTGGTGGTGGTGGCGGGGGTTAGAGGAAAGAAAGTTTCGATGTTCTGTTGAGAACAAGCGAGGCCGACCCAGCAAGCTGAAAGAAGTAAAAACCTGCAGAGCAATAACCACCTGGGCTCAAGATGAAGAATCAGAGACATGGTAATTTGCTATCTGGGTCGAACAGGAAGAGAAAACATCTGGTACCAAGTCGTCTGCTTTTCTAGTCACACGCAGCAATGAGGGAGGCTCGACTTCAACTTCAAAGCCATCGTCGCGTTACGCAGCGTTGACCGGTTCGGCACAAAGCATCATGCACTTCGAAAACCCTTTTCACCTTATTTTTATCGTTACGTGGTTCTGTTCCTAACTGCAGCGACCCCAGTCATCCGGTTGACCTTTTCTTTCGTTTCCCTTTTGGTCAATACCCAATTCATCAGTGCAGCAATTCACGCTAAGAACGACCGTTGTTACTGACACGGAATCGGTCGCGCATTGTGACTCTGGCTTTGTTCTTTATATTCACCTCGAGAAAGGCACGCGATGTCATTCTAGAAATGGTCGGTGATTACTCCGTCAGACGAGGATGAGGAGGAGTTGAAATGGTACCTAAAGAGGTACAAAGACATAATTTCCGGTCCCATCGATTCGTCACTGCCGTGGGTGTGCCGATGACGACTAATCTAATAAGCTTGCATCGCGGGCAAAAATTCACATGCCATTGGATTAAACTAACGAAACGACTTCTGCTCCGAAGTGGACGTCGGAATAAGAAACCAAAAACCAGAAGACTTCGTTCCGTTTACCTAATAACTGGACTTTGCTCTCCATTCACCTTCGGTGTTCTCAACTGTTGTAATGGCGAAGTACCAACCGGCCATGAAAAGTGGCAGCCCAAGATCGCAGGTGCAAGTTGACAAATCTGGAGTTTGTGTGTTAGTTAAGGAACCACATAAATGTTGGTCAAAATGGAAAATTTGGTTGACGAAGGTTGAATACTGCTACTGACTGAGGAACTGTAGCAAGACGGTTGAGAAAAAACAACAGTAAAATTTGTCATCCTCAGATTCTAGGACTCAAGATCGGAACTGGGATTTCACGAATTTTTTTTCATGCTGGCTAATTAAGCTTCGTTCTCTGCTATCTCCATGTTTGCGCAAACTTCACCTCTCGAGGTGGAGCAACAAAGAGAAATTCTTTAAATTGCTACAAAAGCCTGACGTATCGCTGAACGGACGGGAGAGTTTCTGATACGCAAGAACTGAATCGCCGTGATTATCTCTCCTCTAGGCGCTTGTACTTCGATTTGACGGCCAAATTGCCCAAAAATTCCTATAACCTATTGCAATTTTACCAATTCAGTCACAAACCTTTCAATTTTGTCAATTGAGTCATAAATATTTTCGCTTCTTGCAAATTGAGTTCATCCGGATAATTTTGGATGTGGATGCCGGGGGTGTACGTGGCGCTGACGTGGATAATTTTTAATAATTTTTTTAATCTGAAAATTCTTTTCTTTTTTCTATACTTTTTTTCTGTACTTTCCTCCCCTTCTTCCTCTCCTCTAGTTGATCACCGAGCCTCGTTCCCGCCAGCCACCGGCGAGAGTGAGGCCAACCTCGCCTCAGCGATGGCAAGCCTCGCCATGGCTGGGCAAGGTCGAGCCTCGCCGTTGCTGGGCAGGGCTTGACCTCGCCGGCCCTCACCTTTGGCCGGTTGCCGAGGCCTGGCGACTAGCTAGAGGAGGAAAAAGGGGAGGAAAATAATAAAAAAAAAATCGAAAAATATTAAAATATTATTAAAATTTGTCTATGTTAGTTCCACGTAGTTCGGCTGACCAAAATTGATCGGATTGACTCAATTGGCAAAAAGTGAAAAGTTTTATCACTCAATTGGCAGAATTAAAAAGTTTAGAATCGAATACAAAAATGCAATAAGTTTGGTGACTTTTTGGACAATTTGACTAAGGTGCTTGCTCGAAAGGCTATTGGCCATTGGGATTTCGATGTACACGATGACTCATTGAAAGGCCACTTGATGCAATTTCGCTTATGGGTTCCTTATTGTAAAGCACCTCTTGCCCCTTCGAACACCGCCATCTGCCTACCCCACTTTATTTTGTTTCCATTAGACCCTTCCAAGTTCTGCAACTTCCGGACTACGCGCGGCAGCGACTGATTCAGTTTGATTCTTGATTCCACTTGCTTGTCGTGTGGAAAAGCCATGATGCAATCACTGCTCCCATTGACGGGGTTGGCTCTAGAAGGATACATTTATGGATTTCCTTGCGGAGATCATTTGGTTGTTGCAAATTACACGGCATGGTTAGGGAAGGTGAACTCGGACCTCTCGATCGGTTTTAGGGACTATGGTTTTCATTGGCTATTACTTGTGAATCCAGCAAGGTTTTCGATGAAAGTCCGGCGAATCAATGGCGTCATTAGTCGAGGAGGTGTGTGGCGCGGGCCTTATGATCGCGTGCCTCTCGACCGATTCACGCTTCGGTTGATTTGCACACACTTTTCGTAATGAAAAAACTACGTTCTATTGTGGTGTTTATCCATTTATATCGCAAAGAGCAACCAACATTCTATTCTTTTTAGAAAAATGAGGGAAAGAGTCAAAATTGTACTTTGGCGCTTTACATTCAGTTTCTGACCGAGCTCTTGTACTAGAAGAGAAAGCCATGAGAAATCGCTCAAACTCGAACCCTCACTGAACAGCTAATTGCTGAAAAAACGAAAGGCATGAGGAAGCCCATCATCTCCTTTCAAACTTTTGGGCCGTGAGCCCAATTACTCGGCCCAGCTAACTAAATGGGGGAAAACGGGGAGTGCTTGCGATATTGTAAAGATCGATGGACAGAATAGCATGATTGGGATGGGAAGGTTTACGACCAAATAGAAAGAGAAAAAGCAGGGTGGCTACATTTGAGACTCGCGACTCTGCGATTTCGTAAAGTGATTAATTTTGTCTATCAAGCGCGACGACGGACCTATCTTGTAGGGGTGAGCAATGGTCCGGAGTTGACCCGGGACCGACCCTGGACCAGCCCAACCCAGCCGGTCCTAGTCCGGTTTCCAAGGGGATTGGGTCGATCCTTGGCCCTAGGTCCCCTGGACCCTGCACTGTGCGCGTCAGTCCTCAGTCCTAGGAGTTTAGGGTTGGTCCAATTCGGACCAACCCTATATATATATATATATATATATTTATTTATTTATTTTCTAAATAACCTAAGGTCCCTCCCTCCTCTTCTTCTAGCGTTGAAAATAGAAACACTACTGATTATTGAGCATCACCTCTCTTCTTCCCTTGCTTCTCTGTGCTGCTCGCTAGATCTGCCTCTCCTTGCTCGCCTCATGAACCAGCTTGCCTCTCTTGGCCCGTCTCGACACCTCACGAATGGCGAACGCAAGTCACCTCACTTGGCCCTCCTTGGTACCTCACGAACGGCGAACCTCACAAATGAACAAGATATGAAGTTGTTTGTTTTGTTTTCAGGTCTTTAGAAATTGAAGCAATCTTTTGAGAATGAACAATAAATGAAATTGTATAATTCATGGTTTATGTTATGTATTTTTACCATTCTATTTTTTAATTTTATTTCACGTGTTTGTATACTATTAAGTGGAGATTTTTGTTGTACCCTTATCTTAGATTTTTATTTGATTTGTACGGGGTCCATAGTTTGGTTACTTAATATTGCATTGTCGATTAATATGTATTTTCAAAGTGTACCGTTTGTCCTTTCATGGAATAAAAAAAATGAAACATAAAAAAAATCAATTGGTCTAGAGTTGACCCTAGAACCGGACCAGACCCATAGAATTGGTCTAGGCCTCGATCCCAAGCTCAATAGGGTCGGTCCTTGGTCCAAAAAATTGGGGGCCAACACTGTACGTGTTGGTCCCAGGGTTAGGTGTTGGATCAATCCAACTCGGACCATGCTCACCCCTACCATCTTGCTCGATCGAATGGTGCCCACAATGTGAAAGTATTTTTGGTGAACAGGGCATGATATGTTAAATGTTTCTTGAAGTCGTACCATTTGGGAGAAGCAAAAACAAAAGTACCAACACTGTACGGGTTGGTCCCAGGGTTAGGTGTGGGATCAATCCAACTCGGACCATGCTCACCCCTACCATCTTGCTCAATCGAATGGTGCCCACAATGTGAAGGTATTTTTGGTGAACAGGGCATGATATGTTAAATGTTTCTTTAAGTCGTACCATTTAGGAGAAGCAAAAACAAAAGTACCAAGATCTTGAAAAATTGGTTCGTCTGTTCATAAAAAAGTGCTTTCTCTAACATTTTACTTTCCTAAAAAAAAATGAGATCGTGTTATGTTTTCAAATGCTATGAAAAAGATGCATATGATTTAACATGTCGAGATTTTTGCGTTTCCCACCGAATAAATATCAAATAGCGAGTCCAAGAATTTCAACAAAAAAGAAGAAGGAGAAGAGAGTTACAAACAAATATTGCTCCAAACAAACTAGCGGAAATAAAGCAGACCAAATTCATATTTCATTTTATATCACGCATGAATGAGAAGAATCAAAAAGTGATGTGCTCATTTTTCTACTTTTGTCCAAACACTCTAAAGATTTAACAGGCTAGAACAGGGGAATTGGGAGGGGGAAAAGGAAAACACACAGGAAGGATCAGGGATGTAAGTGGATGTACCAACACAAGGGGAGTTGCTTTCATATCTTTCTAGATGGTCCACTCCTCCTCCTTTGTGAGCTGTCCGATCTTCGAGACCCCCCCAGCACATCCCTTGTTTGAGGGGAAAAATCAACACCATCCCCCCACATTCACAATCATAACCAATCTCTCTCTCTCTTCTCTCTGTGTGTGATATATTTGTAGGGTCCGAAGATCTTCCTTTCTCTTCTTTTTCCACGCCCTGTTTCTGGGTGCACCTGTAGCTGTTTTCGAAGCTGTTGAAGGTGTGAAGGGGCAAAGTCATGGGCCATTCCAACGCATGCCCTCCTTCTTCTTATCTGCCTTGTCTGCTCTTTTTACCCACTTCAGGACAGCAGCTGCCGGTGCGCGCGTGCGTGCTTGTTATGCGATGCATCGCAGCAAGAGACAATCGGGACACAAAACGCTGTCCCACCTCGGATCAGTGCAGCAACACATGACATGCTCGTCCAGAGATTTGTCCACATCTCATATGATCCCATTCCCATCCCCAAATATTCTTTCCCACCAGACATATCATACCATATCATATCATATCATATCAAACCCCTCTTCTTTCTTCCCTCTCTAGTCTCCTTCTGTCTCTGTCTCTCATTTTTAGCAAATTTTCTTGTAAAGAAGAGAACCTGTTCATCTCCTTCATGTGAATTATATATCAGATTATGTACGGATTGAGATTTTTCCAATTACTTAAATGACATATGAGGTTCTATGAAACCCGTCCATTCAATTTTTCAAAAGGACCCGTTTGTCAATTTAGCGGAAATAAATTCGACTATCTCGATCACATTATGTGTCACTAGCAAGAAGAGGAAAAAAGTGACCGATATCGATCGATCCATCCACATTTCATTTCTATTTCTAAAGTTGTCATATTAAGAAGCGAAAGAATTATAGAAATATGGGCAGTGGGAAACCCCGAAAAAGAAAGAGATCGAGGGGACAGAGGAAGATGCAACAGACAATATAACTGTAAAACTTGAGCTGCCAAAATTACAGCCCAAACCCCAAAAAAATTCTAAGATAAAGGAAAAAATATATATGTAATTTGGGACGATGCTAGTCACAGCCGCTAGTCATTTTGAGCCGTCTCGTCGGAGATTCCAGCGACGACGGCGAACACGGGCCCGACGACCTCGTGGACGGCGGCGACGGGGACGACGGATCGGACGAAGAAACCGACGGCGATGGCGACCGAGACGGCGTGGTAGGCTGTGAGGACGACAGTGACGACGCGGACGAGACGGACGGCGAGGACGAGGACGCGTCGGAGCTCTCGTGCAGCTTCCTCTTGTGGGTCGTGCCTCCCCCGTCGCTCCTCGCTCTGTCCCCGACGTCTCTCGTCATGAAATCCCTCAGCCGCTTCACGTCCGACAGTTTCACCGGCTTCACGATGAAATCCTCCGCACCTTCCTCCAGACACCTGCATCCCATGTGTTAGATCCTTAAAAAGATCAAATTTTTTACCGAAGACTCGAAATTTGGTGCGTGAAAAGAAAGACGTACCTGTCGATTCGTGCCACGACGTTCTCGGACGACATGATCACCACCGGAATTTCCCTCAGAGCAGAGGATTCCTGCTCAACAACAAATGATTCCTCATTTAGCAAACGATCGTCCCACAATCTGTTTCCACTCGATACATGTGGAGGCGATTCTCATGCATTCGAGGAATTTCCGAAGCTCTGATGCCCACTTCGAAGAAATATTTATAAAAAGAAATGATTGAATTACCTTGATTTTCTTGAGGAGCTCGTAGCCAGTCATCCCAGGCATACAATAGTCTGTTATTATCAGATCCACCTTCAACCCCTGTTTCGAAGCAGAGCACACAGGAATAATCATCAAATTCCGGTTCAGGAAGCCTGTTCTAAGCTTCATAGGTGCAATCTTTAACGAGGAGAAAGAATGAAAATTTGGGCTCACGTTAAAATCTCCAGCCGTTTTCTCCTCATCCAGGCCAAGAAATTGCAGGGCTCTGATTCCACTATCCACTGCTGTAACTGCGGATTCCATTGAAAAACAGAACGATCTTTTTCTTAAAAGAGCTCAAGGAAATGGCACTATATCTCTAGCAAATCCATGCACGAGTGGTACCTTTGCAGGAAGAGATTTTAAGCAAGCGCTCGATGACCTTCCGATCGACGAGACTGTCGTCGACGGCGAGGACGTGGACCTCCTCGGAGCCGCAGGGCGACGGGTCGCTGCCGTCGAGCTGGTCCGACGACCTCCTCCGCCACGAGACCACCCCGTTCCTGGCCATAATACTAGTTACTGAAGAAGCGCAGGCAGAAATGATCCCGGGGCTCTCTCTTTCTTTCCCTTCCTTTTCGGGCTTCTCTTTCGAAGCTCTTTCCTCCGAAGCAGAGCAAAAACAGGGCCGTGCCGTTAGGTGCCCTTCGCTTTATATACACCCTCTTTAATAAGAGTGTAATTGTAAATAACACAGACTCAATGTCAATGTCAGTGTCAGTGTCCTTATTTTCTTTTCAGACAAGATCGTGAGGAAAGAATACCGAAATCCAAAATCTTCCGATTCTTTCACTTTCAGAGAAAATCTCAAATCTCCCTCTCCTTTATTTATTCATTTCCCGAAAGCCAGCTCTGATTAAACAACAACAGCGCTGAGATTCCGAAATCCAACTTTTCTTTTCTTTTTCCTTTCTTCTTTTCTTTCTTTCTTCTCCGGTTTTGGTGAGATCTCCGAAATCAACTAAAGCCCCCGTGTGTTTCACGCCCCATCGCTTGTCCTGTGGCGTCTCGACAAAAGACGCTGGGGTCAATCTCGAGATGGGTGTCAGCGAAATTGGTCGGGTCGGAGGAACAGGGGAGGGGCAGGGGGGGTTGACCAGGGGTCAAAAGAGGAGGACCACCGCCGTCAAATCAAGGAACTCGGAAACGAGCGATACGCGGTTTCCTAATCGGCGGCATTGAAAAGGGGTCGCGAGTTCATATTGGGATTTAAATCTTTTCTTCTGCTTCGCTCGCCCCCACTTGCGATCCTGTACTGTAATTTCACACTCGAGCTGAGCTGAACAGTTCAGATTCTCGAGGGCTTTTGGACAGCGTTGGGTTGAGGGAGGGGGACAGACAGGATCTTAACACGATCTCTGTGATTTTTGCCATCTACCCACTGGTCAGTGCGCCTGCCTTACACGTGTTGCCTCGGCCTCCGGGCGGACCGGACAACAGAGTCCCACAGCACAGAGGCTCGTTTCCTTTTTCCCTCTCATTCATTATTTTGCCCCTGTGCTCAACGCTTTTCAGACGGGCAAAAGAAGTTGCTGTATTTCTTTAAATAAATAAATCACAAAAAAATTCTAAATTATATCCTAAACTTTTACTTTTCATCAGATAGTTTTATAGTTAAAATAACATCTGTTTTTACATTTCAGTACAGATTGCCTTCCTACATCTATGGAAACAGATTTGTAAGGGTACTCATTGATGGAGGATAAAATATATTGCGCATGTACAAATTTGGGATATTTTGCATTACTTAGAAAAAAAGTTCATGATAAATTATCATAATACTCATTAACAGAAGGTAAATGCATCACATATGTACACGTGTTGCCTTGGCTTTCGAGCAAACCGGACAACAAGGTGAACAGGCTCATGCTCAACGCTTTTCAAACGGGCAAAGGAAGTTGTTGTATATCTTTAAAGCAAAAAAGAAACCAAAAATCATAAATTATATCCACCATGACACATTTACTCTAATTTTTTTTATACCAAAACCTCCAAATTATATCTATTGTGATCCATTTATCCTAAACTTTTTCTAAAACCCTAAATTTGTACTTATGTGACACATTTTCGTTCCATTAAGGTTCCGTCAAATGATTTTCCGGCCAAAATAACGTCGTTTTTATTTCAGCCCACCATGTCAATACCTTTTGCCTTCTGCCATCCACACAGGTAGATTTTAATGGTACTTATTGACAGAACCTTGACAGAGAGTAAATGTATCCCTCAAGTGCAAGTCTTAAAAAAGTTTAGAATAAATGTGTCATAGTAAACATAGTTTTGAATTTTAGTAGTTTTTTCCCTTATTAAAAAGATGTAATGCAAATCATACTAAAATGCCTTCGTTTTTTTCCCTAAAATAATTTATGCTCCGTTTCTTTAGTGAAAAAGATGAATAATTTTGAAAATATTTTTCAAGAAATGATCGCTTGTATCGTTTATAAAAATCAATGAACGAAAAGTATTTACATTGTCTGTGAAAACGTTTAGATATAAATTATTATTTATAATGAAAATATTTTCATTAACTAATTATTTTGAGAGATACAAGTAATTTAGGAAAATGTTTTCAGCACCACTCATTCCTCGCTAAATAAATGTAGCCTTAATAAGTGCCCTCACGGCATTTATTAAAAAGACTCTATAGAGAAACAAAAATTAAAAAAGGTGGAAATCAATGAATCATTGAAAACACACTTACGACTATTTTTAATGGTAGATTTTATAAAGCTTATGCACATTATATAGATTCTTAGTTAGTTGTTCACAAAATAAATAAAAAATCACCTTTTGATTTTTTTGATGTTGTGATCATGAGTTAGCTTGTTGCTTCACGCACCCGATTCGGGACGAGTTCGAAAGAATTTTCCAAAACAATTTTAAACTTTGAGCAAGAGCAAAGAGTAGTTGCTTTGAGAATCCAAACTCATATTTTAATTATCTTTTGGCAAGCTCACCTCAATTCGATCTCCCTGGTCCGGTCAAATATAGAAAAATACTCATCTCGAAACTAAAGAGTCTCAAAGAATTTGCCTCTTTGCAGAATGATCTCAAGTAGTTGTGCCAAATAAGAATTGAATTTGACAACGACGTAAGGTGCATTTGGGAGCGCTTTATATAATAGTTTTCACCCTCTGGAGTCTTTCAAGTGAAAGTTTTTTGTGTTTGATAAAAAAACTTTGGACCACTTGGGTTAAAATTTGCTTTGGCAAAACCCAAGGCAGTTACCTATTGCTTTGGCTTCGGGAATTTTTTTTTTTTTAATCATGCAATAGAAAAACCCTAGTTGCTTCTTTTACTCACCCACTTCTCTCTGGTTCCTTTTTTCTCCTCCGCTCCAAGTTCTCTTGACTGAGAAATAGCTCTCGGTCAAAGGAGGCTAGATCTTCTTGACTTGAATTAATATTCACTCCCGAGAGCATCTCGCTACCGATGCTCTTCTCTGCTCGCTGGGGGGAGTATCTTCCGCTTCCACTGTTAGGAATCAACCTAGCTAGTCCTCACTTCTCATTTCTTAACTCTAAAAAATTCTCATCTCTGTCCGCATATTCATTACTTTGCTTAACTTGTCATGTAGAACATTTCCTAAGGTTTGTTTAGACCTTTGATTTATTGTGATTTTGGAGTACCCACCATGTGCATCCTCATTGCTTTACTTAACTTGTTATGTTTTTTTGTTCTTTAGTGAGGTCGATTGCTTTCGTTATTCACTCTTTCAAGAAACATTTTAGGCTTGATGGTTGTATAGTTAGAATCATGGTGATAATGGATGGTGGAAGGAGAAAAGAAAAAGTTGTAGCTGCAGTTGCAAATAATCGATACATGACACTTTAATTTTAAATTTAAAACTATTATCAAGTTATCAACTATAATTATTGTTTCTTTTGATTTTAGGTGGTCAGAATTTGGAATAGATTTTCATGGATGTTTGAGGACCAAAAGCTCATCTTTCTTTCCTTTATCCTGCTTTCCATTTTGTTTGTGGTTCTAGATATGGATATTGTCTTGATCGACATGCTAACCCCTCATGAATTCTATTGCACATCGATTTATGCAATGACTTTATCATTTTAATTGTATTTATTTGAACTATAATGCTAGGAAAACTAGTCTTTTGTATTCTCTTTGGTGAATAATAAGCTTGTTCGGTATTGTTGCATTCGTTTTCGTTTTGTTTGACTAAAAATGAAACCAAAAAAAAAAAAAAAAGAACTTATGGGACCCTGGAACCGACTTTAGAATTTGTGATAGGGTAGGTTCTAGGTTCTAGTTCCGACGAGTAGGTTCCAAGTTCCAAAAAATGAGCAATTTGTACCCGATGGTAAGTTCCAGGTCGCAGGTGAAACCAGTAAGGAACTTGGAAACCTACAACCTGGAACCGCTCACCTCTACAATCTACTACACTAAATCCTCTAAACCAAGAAGTCCAACAGGATCGAGGAGGAAGGCGATGGGTTCATACTACATTGGAAGCAATTTTACGACTTCTCTGAGTTTTGAAAGCTCTCATCTCTTGATCTAGATTTAAATCTGAGAGCATTTCTCTCCCAATCTAAATTTAGATCCGGAGTTCTCTAGATACATTTCCATGCGCATTTTATCGCTCCCAAACTAGATCTAGATTTGGGAGCATGTACAACATGTTTTTGGTGTCTTCGTATGGTGATGGTGTTGGGGATGCTAAATCTAAGCATGCACCACCCACTGAGCAAGCCGTAACTATTGGAGAAGGAGATTATGATGTGTGCTCACGCCATTCGTTCGGTTTTGATATGAAAACAGATTTGTTTTAGTGGGATGAGAGTATGCTTATCTTGGCATTTTATGCATTTGTTTTGTTTTCCACGTATCATCTTGAGTTCTTGATATACGAATGATATTTACTTTCGACAAAAGAATTAAAGATTTCTATCTCGCACTTTATCATAGAAATGATTTTTCAATCCCAAAAATACCCTCATCTTCTTCAATTTGCACTGTTCATCACAGCGAGAAAGATGCTCAGTAGTAACGGTCCGGCCACCACAACGGTTCTGCAAGCACCCCATGGGTCGCGGCCGACCTCAGGGAAGCTCGCCGAGGGCCGTGATGCATCTCTTTTCCATTTCTTTCTTTATTTTGTTTTTTTTGCTGTTAGTTTGATCGACCGGCCATGGATGATTAAACTAACCCGAGGAAAATGTCTCAAAATAAGGCTCATGGGAAGCAAGTGGGGGGAAGGGGGTTAATTGAATTTGGGGGTGGGAAAGGAGGAGGCAAAAGGACAAAGGAGGAGGAGGAGGAGGAGGAGGTGGGGGACGATCTGGGAGCGGGGCCCAAGGCATCTCGCCTGGATCAAATCTTTTGGAGATCGTTTGTACGGTCCACCCTAGATTCTCTCCCCCGAGGAAATATTCATGTCGATGTTATCCCAAAGCAATCAATCGGGACTCGTCCCTATTTGCTTCACTAATTACGGAGCTTGATTCTTGAGATTTTACCGGAGGCCCATATGAAAAAGCCGCCTTAACCTAGATCTACTAACTTCATGTCGTATTATCATATCGTGTTCGAAATTGCCGCACCAAATTACAATTTCGATGTGTAAAGATAGTCACCCCGATTTCACCATAGAGACTATTTAGATCCCTCTCTCTCGACATCCCATTTTTAA